TTGTATTTTTTAGAACATCTGAAACAAAAGTGAGTTCAATTATATATACTCCTGAAGCTTCTGATGATTACGACGATGAAGAAGAAGATCCGGATGATGATCTATGCATATAGTGTTCTTTAAATAAATATTTTTCAATAAAAGCCCATCAACTTTTTGACCAGTTTTAGCTATTTTTCTATTATAGATAAAAAAGTGCAAGATGGAAGTGGCTAGGAACTCGAAATTGCCGTTTAATATTTTTATTTGCTGATCCTGGTGTTAATTTTCACGAATTGTCGAACAAAGAGATATACTTATACGGTATCTATAGTATGCCTTTTCAAAGTGATATTGTGTGCCACTTATGTTTATTTATTTATTTTTAAGAATTTTTTTTTATTAAGTATCAGTCATATCTGGGCAAATTTTCAACACTGATAATACGTAAATTTTTAAATTGTAGCCACAAAAACAAATTATATATCAAATTGTTTTAAATCCATTGAGGAAACAAATTCTTTTGTGATTAATTTTCTTTAAAAGCTTAAAGAGTTATAAGTAAAAAACGGTACCTAATTTTCGAAAATTCAAAGCTAGCGATATTTCTAGACAGCGTGGTTTTTGTCCAATTACAAACCTTTTCAAGACGGCGTCTAAGGAGGTCAGGGGCAATGTGTGTATCAAATTTGGTACAGATTGGCGAAATGGTTTGATATAAGTGGGCGGGCTACACCCAATTGCCAAAAAATTTTACGAAAAACTAATTTTCGCTTAAGATGCATTGAAAACTTAATTTAAGTAAATATTTAAAAATGCGTTAACTGAACTGCCCAAAGATCTGAAAGTCCATGATACAATCAGCCTCATTGCGTAAGTCGTAAATTAGGCTAAATTGTACGACTCGACACTATTGGCATTGTTGTTGTTGTAGCGGCTACAACAACCCCGCCCAGGACGGTTGGTATCTCAGTCGTTGTCGTCAAGTTCCACTAACGGCAACCCTAGGAAGCGTGCAGCTTCTGTGGGGTTTGTCCACAGGGACAAGGCCGTTAGGGTTGTCGGGTTTTCCGTACATGCGAAGAGATGTTTCTAGTCATCCCGGACACTCATTCGGCACATCCTCATTCAACCTACTCAAGTAGGAGTTCAACCTGCTGCAGTAGCCGGAGCGAAGTTGTGCGAGTGTTGTGCGTGTCTCCCGAGGCAGATGAAGCTCCGTCTCGTCTATGTCCGGGGGTGGTATGCCTAGAACGGCATTCACAGGTCTAGAGTCTACATAACTTAATGAACCTCTGGACTTCGTCCGTCAGTTCATATAGATGCCTCCTGACGTGCCTAGGCGCGGGCTCCTCTGCAAGCAGCTGTCTGCTTGGGTGGCCACTTCTGTGGCTCCCGATCAGGAACTGCTTGCAGAGCATTATATTATGCTCCTTCACAGGGAGCATTTGCGCCTCACCGTGCAGGTGGTGTTCAGGCGACATCAAGAGGCATCCTGTCGCTGGCCTGAGTGCGGTGTTCTGTACAGTCTGTAGCTTCGTCCACTGCGTCCTACTAGTCCCTGGCGACCACACTGGCGCTGCGTAGTTCAAGACCGGCCGGCCTATTGCCTTGTATGTTGCCAGCAACGTTTCTTTGTCTTTGCCCCAAGTACTGCCGGCTAGCGACTTGAGGACCTTGTTGCGGCTCTGTACTTTATTGACAATAGCGGTTGAGTGCGCAGAGAAGGAGAGCAGGCTGTCGAATGTTACTCCGAGTATTTTGGGGTTATTCACCGTCGGAATTGGTGTGTCATCGACGTGAATCCCCAGCGGTAGCCTGACCTCCTTCGTCCAGGTTGTGAACAGGGTCGCGGAGGATTTCATAGGGGAGAGGGCTAGACACTTTGCAGTGAAGAAGCGAGAAAGTTCGGAGAGATAGCCGTTTACTTTCGAACACAGGTCATCAATTCCATTCCCAGTCGCCATGATCGAGCAATCGTCGGCATAAGAGACAATCGAGACTCCCTCTGGTGGTTGAGGGAGCTTTGAAATGTAAAAGTTAAACAGTAGTGGGGAAAGGACACCACCCTGAGGAACCCTCTCTAAACATTACCCACGAATGTCGACCACTCAGATAATTTGCCGACCACCGTTTGAGCCTCTGTGGGAGAGAGGAGGCCTCTATATCTTCTAGTAGCGTGGAATGGCAGACGGTGTCAAACGCCTTTGACAAGTCCAACGCTACTAGAATCGTTCTCTCACAGGGACGGTTACGGTTAAGGCCACGAGTTATCTGAGTTTTTATGGCGTTAAGTGCTGTTGTTGTACTGTGCACTTTACGGAAACCATGCTGATGCTTCGCTGGGGTCAGGTGGTTTGTGAAGTACGGGAGTAGCAAGGCCTCGAGTGTCTTCGCTACCGGGGAAAGGAGTGTTATCGGACGATACGAATCTCCTTTGTTGGCAGGTCTCCCCGGTTTGAGCAGTGCGACCACTCTCCCCACCTTCCAGATGTCTGGGATGATGAGAGTGGCCATTGACAAGTTGAGGACCTCCGTTAGGTACGCTACCCCCGCAGGACCCAAATTTTTCAGCATCAGCATGCATATTCCGTCGGGACCCATGGCTTTGGTGGCTTTCGCCTTCCTGATGGCCACCTGAACTTCACCGCAAGTGAAAGCAAGGGGGGCACAAGTTGTTGGCAGTTTGTGCAGCCATCTGGTCACTCGACGCTTGGCTTTGTCCACCGGAGGATGCAGTATGAACTGCCGGCTAAAATAGCTCGCGCATCGCTCCGGGTCCGACGAGGCATGGTCGCCGAAGGAAATTTCGACTCTGTCGTCGTGCTTCGTCGGATTAGACAATGACCTCACGGTTGACCAAAGCTTGCTCACATCAGAGGTGAAATTACAGGTCTTCAGATGCTCCTCCCACTTCTTCCGCTTATGTACGTTTACAAGTTGCAGAATCTCCGCGTTGAGATCCCTGATACGGGGATCTCCGGGATCGGCCTGACGAAGGCTATCACGCTCATCGGCTAGAACAGCCGCTTCGGCAGGGAAGTTTGGACGTATGAAGCGAGCTGCAGCAGCAGTGATAGCCCTGCGGAACTTACGTTCACCGAGATGGACGTCGGTTGGTGTGGGGAGCGCTGTGAAGGTGTTTTCGGTAAACTCCGCGTAACCTTTCCAATCAGCTTTAGAAAAGTTGATATAGGTCCGTTGTTTGGCGGAGGCAAAGTCGGTTGGTTTATCTATCGAGATGACTATGGGTAGATGGTCTGATGCTAGAGTCAGCATAGGTCGCCACGTTATGCTGTTTATCAGACCAGCGCTGACTGTTGTGATGTCTGGCGAGCTACTGCAGTTACCCATAATCCTGGTGGGTGCGTCGTCGTTCATTGTGCAGAATGTCGAATCGTCTATCTGCTCAGCCAAGTCTGTTCCCCTACGATCGTTTGACAGGCTTGAGTGCCAAAGATCGTGGTGCGCATTAAAGTCACCTACTACCATACGGTTTTCACCTCTTAGGAGCGCACCTATATCAGGGTGATATCCTGCCGGGCAGCAGGTGACAGGGGGTATGTATATGTTAAATATTTCGAGCTCGACATCGCCTGACCGGATAGCGATGCCCTGACATTCTAGGGTGGTATCCCTGCGGTCGATGTCTGCTTCGATAAGACGATACTGCACGGTGTGGTGCGTGATGAACGCTAAGCCACCACCATTATCTCGCTCGCGATCTCGACGGCGCACGTTGTACCCGGCGCAATTCAACAAAGTTGAATTGCTGTGCAACTTCGTCTCTTGGACCGCAGCTATCAATATACCATGCCGACACATGAAGACGGTTATCTCCCCAATCTTGCTCTGTAGCCCGTTGCAGTTAAATTGAAGGAGCTTCATGTGGTTCGGGAGACGTGTCGTGATGTGGGGTGTAAGTGAAGTGTATGTTCTTGCCGCCGTTGGCTGTGTGTGCAGCTGTGGTGATTGCCGCCCTGTTGTGGTGGTGGGGGGCGTCGCAATTGGGGTCTGCGACCGAGCAGCGCAACACGGGCCCTCGAAGTTCCCAGTCCAATCTCGCGTGGTACGCAGACCTGACCATGCCCTAAAGTGGCACCAGCCAAGGCAGGTGTTGCACTTGACTGATGTCACATTACGGAATATCCTGGTCTGACATACCGTGCAGATTGTAGGGGGAACCAGGAGTTGTTGGCGGCGGCGTGTGGGTGGTGGTGCGGTTGTGTTTGTTATGTGGTCTGTAGTGGCTGTGGTACGGTCTGTGGTGTTATTATGTTGTTGTGGTGACTGTGTGAGGCTGCTGTGTGAGTGTGTGGGGCTGCTCGGGCGGACTGTGGTTAGCCGTGGAGGCTGCTCTGTTTGAGCAACAGGGGGCCCCGTACGACGTGGTCCACTGTCTATGTGTCCGTAGTCCCGAGCAGACTCTGAGGTGACTCCACCCCTCGCAGGCATTACACTTGACTGAGGTGGAGTTGTGGTGTAATCGTCTTCGGCATACACAGCAGGTGTATGTTTCTGGCCCTGTGTTTGACTCGATGCCAGCCCTGAGTAGGAGAATACGTAGTGAATGTAGCCCTATGGACGGACAACTTCTGAGATACTTCGCCGACCTAAACGGGGTTAGATCGCCGAAACAACAGCCCTTGGTCGGGTGAAACCCGAGTCATTCCGGTACGTAGAACCGGCTGTCGTGGGAATGCTATTGGCATTGTCTACTGTCGTGCTGAAATGAGTGCTGCCAAGTTTTTCCGTTTTAATACACTAATCGAAGTTTTCGATACGATTCAACGACTTGCGTTCGACACGACTCTCGCAATGAGGCTGAATAATTTTTAGATTCATCGCACACCACGGACTTTATCGGCCGCCGATTTAGTTGGCCTCGCTAGTCTTTCCATTGCACCACAACTAAATGGCCGGAGCAATTAAGTTGGTGTAGTGTGCGCACCTCCATACATCTTCATGTACATATTTCAAACGAGTCCTACTATGTATTTAAATAGGCGACCGATGAAGTCTGTGGTGTGCGGGTGCTCTTATAGCTGTATCCTTACATCTATTTCGTGTGTTGCAATACCGACGGAAGCAGCAGTTAATTTTTTCATAATTTTTTATGAAGGAAATTATTAAAAAATATTATAAAATTTCTCTACCAACATATGAGTGTAGGGTTTAATACTTTAA